TGTTGTGTATCGGTGCAATGGTGGTAATGTATGGCTAATAATCAAGGAGTCGCGGGTTCGATTCCCACAGGGTTTCATCATCAATTTGTATTTCTTCTATAAGATAATGGACTTCTCACATCTGAATGTTTATTAAATTGTTGAAAGAAATATTTAAATTTCAATTCAATACAAGTTCAATAATATTACATTTTGCGTTTAAAAGAAGTATTATGTACTAATAAATTATTTATTTTAAGATAACGTAGGACAGACTTGATGAAAAGTGATATACCCCAACATGATAGAAACGACCTTTTTTTTGATAAAGATCATGATTCGGAAACCGTATTCTTTACGATTTAAAATAAAGGCATATATTTAAAATTCATTAAGACGAATTAACCACTTATTTAATTTCTAAAACACAACGAATGCTTACAAAATACTAAAATTCACTAATTTACTACTACTGAACTATCTTGTTATAATTCACCAGATGGCTGTTAAATACACTCAAAACGGCTAATCCTCCGTTCTCGACATAATAGCGAAAGTGCTTTAAAAACACATATTATATAGCTATTATCCTTTACACCCCGCTGTGCGATCACTTTGCGATATTGTCATCGACACCAAAATTACAGTCAATTGTCGAAAGGGATTATTTACTCAGAATTATGTTTTCTTTTAGGCTCCGGTCTCATATAAACGCGAATGGTTGTGATTACGTGTAACGTTGCGTACTTTTATAGCCGACGCGATAAACTTTTCAGAATTCTAGTGTGGAAATAATCTTTTTTAAGTGTATAAGGATGTAATTGTAAGATAAATGAATGAAAATTAATGATTATATGCTTTTATTAATGTTTTATATTGAAATAAACACTTTTGACGACTTAAAACGTGAAATATATTCGCGACGCGAAATTTTGTATGCATATAGCAGGTGTGGTAGTTTGGCATCCGACACGTCGAGCCCTAGTTGAAATAAATTAAATTAATGCGAAATATCGCATTTAAACCACTTCAAACCGCTTCTAAACCGTTAAAAAGTCATTTATTGCCAGTACAATAATATACAAAAATTTATAGTTTTCATGACTTATTACTTAATCTTAATTACAATTATTTAGACGGTCTGATCTTTCGCATGCTTTGAATTAGCCGGTGTCACGGAGCGATCCTATCGCGTTTTAAATTGTTAAAAAGTGGTCAACTGAGGATGTAATGCGTGACGCCTCGTAACCCTATATTCGCCTACGGCGTTTATAGCAGACCACAGCCTTATCCGAATTCGCAAGGACCACACAGCGTTAATTTTTTTTTGTCGGTTTGCCAAATTGTATAAGGTGTTTTGACAATGCGTTCGGAACGTGAGTTCGCGCTGTTCCTTATGTTAAGCATGGTTTCAATGTTTGCGGTGTTTTGTTTTTATTTTCGTACAGAGCTAATTAAACGGTTCACTTCAATGGCATTCTCTGAACCTTTAGTCATTGACTAATAAACTTAACTCATTCAAGAGATATAACATTTCTAGATACTGGCAAGACGAATGGTTCATATTGGACCAAACAGTTAAAAACCCAAATATATACTGATTGTAACTTCATTAGGCACCTACTAGCAAACGTCTGTAGTTTACGTTTATGCTTTGTAGTCATGGTCACCGGGGATGCTATAATTAAATTAAATAAAAATATGTTTGCGTTTTAAATCGTTGAAGTGTTTCATTTAATATCTAATGTAATATAAAACTATTGTAACTATAACTAATGATTAATACCAGTTAGTTATGTATCGGTATTATTTAATTTTAGGTAGTAGGAATACTTTCTCTTCATAATAAATAATGAAGCGTTTTTTTTTCATAAATAATATACCTAGGTAGGTTTGTTTATAATAAAATTACCTTTTTTTATTGAAAGCCACGTGAATTAAATGGAATAAATACTAAAATAATTTAAAAAAATTGTAATAATAAAATCTGTAGAATAAGATAACCTTATTCAATCTAAGGTCAAATCAATTTAATTTTTAACTATATTTTTATTGTAAAAGTAATTTGTAATGTTAACATCAACACCTTTTAAACGGTTATCTAATAATGTATTTCTAACATAACCTAATGAAACCGGTCCTAAAAACGATAAAACATCAAGTCTACCTTCTTTCCCAGTTTACCTAACATACCCCTACATACATAATATTATAATATACCTTAGTAATGGCCTTCGCCCTAAAATATTACTTATTTCTAAATACTGAGTAACTTTTTCCAACAGCTAATAAGTACTTACCTAGTAGTGTGATGAGATGACGTAAGTCCATCAATGATGAGTTGCGGATAAAGCTTGTATAGATCTTTTCTCAAATAATACACGGAAATTTAAACTTAGTAGTACAATTCAGATTTTTTTTTAATATTTAATGGCCTGGTAACAAGACCTTTAAGCCAAGTCTTATTTTCACTTCACACTTTTCTTCTTATATGGACCCTATAGTGTTTTTAATGTATTTGTATAACGCACTATAACACTTCTTGTTTTTAAGCAAATTACACAACTGGTGGCGGGAGGTTTCACTAGCTTCTATAACATCACTTGCCAATATAAGTCTATGAAAAATAAACATAGGGCTTTGACACTTAAAAAATATGTGTTCGATGTCTCCTTCTTCGTCACAGTAGTTGCAAATATTCCTATTTATTATATTGAACCTCGCAAGATGTGCGGGTGCGGCATTGTGACCAAATCTCAATCTGTTAATTGTAGTGATAAATTCACGACTAGCTACGTCGAGCTCGTGATACCAGGGTTTGTTTGGTAAATTTTCTTGTATAGTTCCATACCATTTTCCTTTACATTTTTGATCTTCTTTCCAGAACTTTAGCCACATATCTTTTAAGGAGATATTTACATCGTTATAATAGTCAGTCATAGGAACACACACCACATTTCTAACGTTCTTAGCATTGATTCCTTCATATGCAGTCTTGTCAGCTATTGTACAATTCAGAACTTTAAAACCAATGACTAAGTTGACGAACAACTAATAACAATAGTCTTTTACGCGGCAAAGTATTTTTTTTTCTATGTGCCAGCCAGTTCGAAATTTAACCAAGAAGATCAAACCTGTGATAAATAACCTTTTTTGGTCGCCATATTGCGGAATAGATCGTTCCATTTTTAAATTACACGACAGAAATGATTTTACATAGTACTTTATTTGGCTGCTAAACACTAGAGATACCTACGGATTTTCTTACGTCTATTGCCGGCCGCTGCTTACAGTAAGTTCGATTTTTTGTCAAAATAATGATCAAATCTCTAAGCATGTTTAGAGAGTAACATTTACTCCGTACTAAGAAGTTATAATATGTAGGACTGATCAAAACGTATATCAATGATCATAAATAGGATGGCTTCTTATTGTCTGACCTTAGACCGAGACCGGTTTAAAATAACAGAGTTAATGTCCACATTTATCAGTGCTAGTGCAGTCATAAATTACTGACTACTAATAAAGACATCTGCCAAAAGAGTTAGAATATGACGTCATTTGTTATCGGAGGCATATGAAAGTAGATAACTTAATAATTTCTGCAGAAGTAGGTACCTACGATTTCTTATAATAGAGGAGGACAAGTAAGTGTGGCGTTCAGTTACTGAATGACATGTCAACAAAATGCGCTATGAAATTTTGGCTTTGGATATGCGGAAACCCAGACTGACAACAAATGTTGAAGGCTTTTTTATCTGTGGATGGTGGCTCGTGACCCGGACGTAATTTCGATATTCTACCATCCAATGACATCCACTTTCAGATGGGGCCCTACGTGTTTAAAAAATTAGACCCGTTGATTATTAGCCATACTTTGTTACCATTAGGCCGAAGTACCCGTCAAAACTGAATAGCTTTTTTGATAATGATTTTTTTGTAGACATATATGATTCCAGCAATGCCGATGCTTTTGCTCTATTACTTTCTTTCTATTATTTTCTTATTCTCTATTACTAAATAGTTATTTAAGCTTATATTTAAGTTATTTATTCTGTCTTGTGAAATAAATGGTTTGAGTTTGAGTTTGAAATATATCGCAGTTTTATATTATAGAGGAATTCAGAAGAGCGTGAGGTTCAATTCAAGTGGTAATACCAGTAATATAACAACTTGACAAGATGCGCTGTCGGCCTATATAAAAAGAAGAGAGAGTAATAGAAAAAACAACACTTCACAATATTTTATTTTTATTATTTGTACAAGTGATTCAAAATAATACAGTTTATGGTAGATAGGATAACTTATAGTACAGTTCGACAAAATATGCTTACACTATAATATTTATAGGCTAAATACAGAAAAGGTAACCTATTAGATCCTTTTTGTAAATTGGACGGGTATGACTAAGGCACATAAATTATTTACAAGTAAATGAGATCAGAAGAAGTAAAAGACTTAATTCCTAAAACAATACTAAGAAGATCAATGTTAAATAACGAATTTTAAAATATGACACAGCATGGTAAGTAAGTTACAGTTGCTTTTAAGAAACATTACGTAATTTTTCGGCAAATCAGAAATAACAAAGTAAAATTGTTTGTTATTGAAAAACTTGTCTCAACCTGAATTAACACCAAGACCTTTAAAATAGATTACAAGATATTATAGATTTCAAGATAGCAACGTTTTGTATTTAAATAAACCACTTTCAACGGTTTAAAACGCAAAATGTATTAGTTAAACTTATTAACTAATATACTTAACGTAGTTAAGTTTGGTTGCTTTGCGACGGCGGCTGCAATAATTATGTTTAATAATTACGCGTTTTAAACCATTAAATGACAACTACAGACAGTAGGTACTTAACGTTTTGTATAAAAAAATGCCAAACTATTGAATAAAAAGTAAATTGCAAGAGAAATGACACAGACGTCTTTCATCGTTCTATTAAAATCAGATTTGTTCTTATACTAAACTAAACTAAAAGGCACTTATCAGTCTTTGATTTAATACGTTCTCTATGAATTCTCGTCCTCCGTGTCTAAATTGTCTATCGGGAAGTTTGGGTTTAACAGTGGACTCTTTCCGTTGCTACCGCTCGGCGATGTACTGACAGACGCCATACCAACTAAATTATGAGTTAAGCTATGACGCCTGAGGTCACAGTTTCGCCTGAAGACCTTACCGCAAGACGAACAATTATACGGCTTGATGTCCGTGTGAGTTAGAAGGTGGGTCTTCAAGTTGGACCTCTGGTTAAAGCTCCTACTGCAGACCGGGCACTTATGTGGAGACTCTTCCATGTGAAGGATTTTGTGAACCGCTAACGTTCTTGATTGGCAGAAGCCTTTTCCACATTCTAGACACTTGAACGGTTTCTCCTTAGAATGTATATATCTGTAACAAACAACACTTTATTTACCTCTACTTTACTTTGTGTTTTTAAACATTTTTTAACATTGATAACAATTAGAATAGTTGAAGTTAAACAGTTCTTAATTGCAATAAGTTTTATACTCTTCTTTAGTTTAAATAATCTTATACCAGCAATTATTAAATTATGTACATAGTTACTTTACATTCTACAATAATCTGTTGTAAAGTACTTTTCGCTTCTAACCATACCTATTCATTATGCTTATTTAAAACATTAAGATTTATATTTTGCATAGCTACCTAAACGAAACAATACTAATAATACAGGATTGGCTAACATGTCTTGATCACTAATTCACATCCCAAACAATAATATAATAAGTATGGACTTACGAGTCCAATCTCGTCCTAATCATCCAAATCATTACCTAATATGAAAACTTATCTAATTAACTCCAGAAAAGGCGTCAAATCAAATCATAAATAGCTCTTATAAGGCTAATTTTCGTTTAAACCGTGAACAGGGTCCGATAAATACATCGTATCTGCAGGCGTATGAACACCTTGTTGAGCGGAACGAGGGCCCCGGGATATTGGTAATAAATTGGCACTCCCTAATACCATGTATTTTGAGGGTGAGAAGCGTTTAACAGCTAATGTGGATAATTCGTTTAGTACAGTGTTTGTTTTATTCATTCGAATTGCATGGTTTGAATATTTAAAAATAGAATTCTGTTGAACACAATTTCAAATACTGTTCATTTGAAAGGTAGACTGATGGTATAGTGATAGTAGGTTAAATCTTAAATTTAACAGAAAATTTAAACAAAGAAAACTATTACAACGAATAGGTATTTTGATTGTAAGTAATTGTTGTCTATTACAATCAAAGTACTGGTACTAATGGTTTATTTTTAACAAGTTAAAAGGCCTTTTATTATATTTAAATTTGTGTAATTTAATACATGTAACGTAAATAGAGATATTTTGGATTTATTTGTCTTTGATAACAAATAAAACTTCTAGAGTAAGAAAAGTATTTCCTGCTTATGTAAATGCGCCATAGAAGAACTCTTTATATAATATGTGTATCTTGTTTTAAGCTTTTTTTGTACTTTATTAATTTAAACATTGTATTTTCTTTATTGTTTTATATGTAAGTAATTTCATGACCTATGTATATAGTGACTTATTTGTATAAAAATTGTGGGTGTAGAGTAGGTACCTACACGTTATATTTGAGTGAAATATTCTTACTACAATAAATTCTTCTATTCTAGATAGTTGTTAATTTATTAACAAATTTTGAACTACGGACCGACGTTTCAAATGCTTGAAGCAAAAAACAATTAAACTAATACATTCGTACGAAAGTAAATACATTTCGCGTTTAAAACCTTTAAAAGTGTTTTATTTTAATGTGTACTACTCGTGTAAACTACGTGTCAATATTTTAGAGCTAGATACATTTATTATCTTAACGAGATTTTTTCAAAATACTACAAAATTTATACCAATAAAATCAATAAACTAACGGAACAGATCATCCAAAACAAAACAATAAAATAATCAGTAATTACAAATAACCGTGAAACAATTCCCTATACAAACGTAGAGATGAGAAAATTACGTGTCCAAGTAACGTAATACCACGTATTAATAACCGAGATAACGATAGACGATTAGGTGTTACCAGCAATAAAAAAGTGGGATAAGACGATGCTTACGCATTCGTGCGGCGCGGGCGCACTTAGGCCTACAACACACTTGAATAATTAAGCCGACGATGGGTATTGATGGTGCGTGAAGCTAAACCCTATTAACATTTAACCCGTCGCTAATTAATAAAACGGTGAATGTTTAATTATGATTAACTCGAAGATTCGGAGAATGTTTAACTTGACATTCTTTGTTTGATTTAGGTTTCCGTCCTAACTTAATGTGGGGACATAGTTTTCGGAAGTTATTAATTATGGTTTATGGCTTTGTACTTAATTTTATTATATGTCGTAAAGGAATTCAAGTTTTTAATTGGTATTGGAAAATAGATTATTACGAATCTCAGATTCAATTTAAAAACTTAAGTACTGTTTGTTTAGTACACATAAAAAAAAAACACTAATTTAATAAATAAGTTGAACGTATTGAATCAATGGCTTTAACTAATAAATTTCTAGTTTTAAACCGTTAAAAATGTTTTATTTAATATAGGTAAACTTCTACAACGAAGCAAAAGCTTTTAACTCCTGTTTGACTTAATAGTTCTGAATATTTGAGTCCCGTTTCTGTTAAAAGGGATTTTTGTGATCTTGTCACCACTAAAATATTTTCCGGAATTCCTATCCAAGATCTTAAGAGCAAGAGATACTGACGTCTTCATGCATAAAAGATTTGTAGAATCATGAATCAGAGATAAATATAGGATAGTATTTAAACACGAATCAACAATGAATATTCTTTTTGTCGTCAATAATCCTCACGTCAGGATTACCACACGTGCTTTGTTGGCTTTGTGAAACCCGTCGAACCTTCCATTCCATTATAACGTGTCGTGTCAGCGGACATCGATTGAACACGGACGGGTCGCGCGGGCCCGTTCTAACCCTCCGGCGTCTACACGAAATGTATTTTATTACGACGGAGATACCGTGATTTGGTAAAACGAGACAGGTGTTAGGATGCAACACCTTTCCTTCGACAGATAAGTGGAGGTATAGATAAACCCCGAATGCTGTACTATCGTGGACGCGTGTCCTAATGGATAATTTATCGTTATCGCCCGCTGGAATTCGGTTTGTTTTCTCCGAATTAGGATTAAGAATTTCCGAGCAGATAACATCCTTCGATAGGACGCGCAAAAAGTAAAAAAGGGGCAAAATTAAAACATCGGGACGCAGATTAGCGATGGTTTTGTGAAATAATTTACGAGCGTGACGAAGGCAACGTCGATACCATCTGTTCGGTTATAATCTTTTTATTTGGTTACACCGCCATTATTCAAAAGTTCATAACGTTTCGCACTGCGCTAAAAAGTATTGAAAAATGAATATCGTGATCCCTCCAAATGTTTTTCGACAGCTTAACCTTGCTTTTATCTGTCGAGAGCGGATCGGGCGAGCCGATACGACGTTTTAGTGGGGAATAAAATTTATATCTTCAATTGATTTAGCTATTAGTTTTGAATGTAGAGATAAAGTTACATTCGTCTTGTTGTATAGTTTTTATTCTAACAAAATAATTCTTTCCATAGGTTGTTAAATTATTCATTTGAAATACTGTAAGCGTAGATTGTAGTTTTCGCATGTTGAGAAAAATTTCACATAAATTTAAAAATGTTCTTCAAGTGATCGTGGGTTTGGATTCCGCTCATATTATAAAAATCAATATACATTTAAATAAAACACTTTAACGGTTTAAAACGCGATAAACCGTTAGTGTTTTATTTAAATGTGTACTACTCGCGTTAACTATAGACAGTATTTAATCAATATACAAATGTTTAACTAATACAATTAAAAATTTACAAAAGTGGACTTGCTTTGTAATTGTATAAATGAATTTAATGCTTACCTATGATCTCTTAAATGATCTTGTCGTCGAAAGGCTTTCCCGCATATATCGCAAGAATAGGGCCGTTCATCTGTGTGTGTTCTTTCATGTATTAATAAGTTGTATGATTTAGTAAACTGGCGGCTGCAGAATTTGCAAATAAACTGTTTCTTTGTTCTGGGCCCACTCGTCGCTTTCTGTTTGTTTGATATACTACTGCTGGACGATGTAGAACTATTGGCGGATTTTGAGCTAGATGAGTTAGGCGGAGGCGATGTGGATTGAGCTGGTCCGTTCATTTGCTGTTGATACATAGCATTCATTAAAAGACTTGGGTAACCGTTATCTAAGTTCTGCGAAGAACTGAAACTGTAGCCTTTGGAAGTCGCTTCTAAATGTTGTTCCAGAGTGAATTCATCTTCATTGTCTAATAACGCTAAGTCCTCCTCCACTTCTTCGGATAGGTCAACGTCGTCCGCAGCGACAGAATCAGGTAACGGATATTCTTCCGGCGATTTGGGTGACGCAACCTTCAATGTGCTTTCGGATACATCGGTTTCACTTATCTTCGCGCTAGCTGTCGCTATTCGCAAGATATCCTGCTTCGACGTGGAACTATTCTCAGGCGGACTATTTACCGTCGAAACGGTGGTGAGACGTTGCAACGTCAGATACGATTCTAAAGCTTGCAAGTTGAGAGCGGCCGCCGCGGCGGAATTGGACGGCAGCATCGCCGCCTGTTGCAGCGAATTCATCATCGCATTTTGGAGAGATATAACGACACCTTGTAAGGACCTTTGCAACACATTCTCTTGTAGCAGCGCTGCGGATGCTATCGATACATTTAAATTCGGACTACTCGCGGAATTATTGCTCTTACTTGTCTTGGTGTCCTCGAGAGGCGAGTCGCCGAGCAGCGCGTTCATTTCGCTCTTGCCGTCTTGTATCTGGAGGTTGTTCTTCAGTTTGATGATGGCACTTTCCAGGGAGCTGAGTGTCTTGTTCCGGGAAGTGCTCTGTTCTTGCATTGTCTCGGGGGCGTCAGGCTATCATCGGGCGGTCACTGGGGCACGTGTAGCGCGGTGGGGGTTATCGCGTGCGCATGCGCCACAAGTCACGATACAGAGCGTGCGAGGCGATCGTACGGCGCGACGCGACTGAGCCGGCGGGCAGCCCGCGACCGCCCCGCCCTGCGCCCCTGCGTCCGTCCGCCTCACAAAAGCTCTCTATTTTAGGCAACTCTTTGTACAGTAATGGTCACCTCACGCTGTACTAACGGCGGACACGTCCATGAGAACGGCGTTGCGCCAGATTTGTTGTTACTCTTTCGAGTAATGAGATTCTGAATGGAATCGTTCGGGGTATGGGAAAACAATTCGAGCGATCGGCCCATTTGGTTTGATTGTGGGTCATGTCACGCGCGGTCGCTTACTTGGGACGCCATAATGTCGTGGGTTTTGACAATAATGGGTTGGACAATTTGCCTGTTGTTTTGCTAACATGGCAAATTGGGGCTTTGATCACTTGTTGTTTGAAATATATTGTACACAAATAGCCATTTTCAGAAAAAACAACATAGACAAATATTTATTATAAGTTAAGTTTAAAAATATAAAAATTATTTATACAAACATTCAAGATATATTATCATTACATAAAAATAACTTTTTGATGGCTTAAGTTTTTTTTTCAATTTATCCGACGGTTCTGTGATGCATTCGAGTTGTTCTTAAAAAAGTTAACAAATAAAATTCACCTTTAAACCGTTATAACTTGTATTACTCGCGTTGGCTACACACAGTATTTAATATTTACAATTGTTCCATAAAATGTATTGCTTTGTAAATGTTTTAAGTAAGTATAACGAGAAAATCTTTACCGTATTGCAAATTTGTAGAACAGAAATCGTCCTTTGTACACAGATTTCAGAATTATTTGTTTTGCACTTGTAAATTCAATGTGATTTGAATTTTATGCCCCTTTGTTTCACACGAGGTGTGAGGATACAGAACAAATATAATTAAGGTAAACAAGGGTTAACAAGTTGAACATCGGTGGTCTCAGTGGAATACATAATTATTAAACATTTTTATTTACTTTTACAGTAAGATAAAATAGATACTTAAACGTATTTTAAAATTAAACAAACTATTCTAGGCCAAAGTTTACACGAGTGATACAAATATAGTACGCGTTACAGATTTCTAACCGTTAAAAGTGTTTTATTAACCCATTCTACGTCTAAATGCGAACTCTACGTTATGATTATTTTTCTTTTAGGTTCTGAACTATCGTAATACAGTTTTTCTTTGAAAATAGACACTACTAGCAAATATTTATATTTGTGTCGAAATTTCATTGTTTTATTTTTAATCGATGCTAAACTGCTATAAACGTTGTTTGAATTTTTTATTTCATATGAACTCAAAACCTATTAAAGAATTGTTTTCGAATATACAATAAGAAACGTAGGTATAGTGAAGTTAAGCCCTATATTTTTCTAAGCTTTTTAGAATCTACCTATCAAGTCTAAGATAAGGTTTTAATTTGTGTACAAGTATTATTTTGTGGGTTAAAATGGACCTAGCTTAGTAGATTTCATTTAGACACTATGACACTGTCTATCATCAATCTTTCGTGACCAAGGCTGCTGAAAAGGATCCGAAACGTCAGCCGTAGCTTTAACTATATAGTAAACAAGTTAATTAATACGGTTCACGTTTTAAACCGTTAAAAGTGTTTTATTTAAATAATTTGGTGTGAGCAAATATAAGCACTGTCTGAAGCTTACGCGAGTAGTACACAATTAAATAAAGCCGTTAAAATGATTTTTTAATAAATTTAACGTTTATTTCACGCTTTAAACCGTTAAAGGTGTTTTATTTAAAGGTGAGCTAATTTTATTATGCATATATATTTTTTTATGATAGAGGAGTACAGTGGACGTGTGCCAACATACAAAATGTCCCATCGTGTAAAGACCTACATGACTACAGGCGTTAATTCCGACAGAGCAATTGCTGCAATTGTGCAAGACATAGAGCAACTGTCACGCTGGCTAATCAGAAACAAAGGCGCATGCTCCATTGGACCGTGGTAATTGCGCAGAATTGGCATGGGAAACTTACCCGGATAGAGAAGAAAATTGATCGGTAGGTGGAGGAATCATTTTTATTTGCTTTTAAGGCCTAGAAATTATAAGGAGCAAGGTATTTTTCCTTAATCTTTAAATTGTAATAGAATTAAAGTAGTAATTAATCTCCGTTTTATATACTAAAGTCTAATTAATATTACTAAATATTGTCAGTGTTTTGGTAAAAATATTTAAATAAGAAATGTCTTACTTAAATCAATTTAGTATTATTTGTTTAATTATTTATATTTATTAGCAGTACTTGTTACTCGTAAAATGTTCAATAAATTTTTCTAAACAAAATATTCACGATTTTTTTATATACAACGTCATATTATGTAAGTATGTAACAAATATAATTTTATTCCAGGCATCGAAGACGTGATACAGCGAAAAATCTTCACATGTAATTATGGGCCATTAGTACCACATTGCGAGCCATTTACGGCAAAAATGACAGATCTTGACACAGTGTTGACAGGAATGTTCCGAGAGCATTCTCACGCCGCTGACGCCCGGGGGCTGCGCGAGCGCACGACTAGACGATATAAAATTAATTTATCTATAACTAATGTTGCCATAACGGAGCGGAGGAGAATTGTTAAGTTTTAATGTGGGATAAAGTTTATCAGTGAATCAGCGATTCAAATAAATTACTGGACTTGGTTGTGTGGGTAAGCTTCCGATGGCGAGGCTGGATTAAGGATGGGGCTGTCGACCTATTTTGGCTTTGGATATTCGGAAATCAAGCAACTGAAACCGACACGGATCGAATCGACGACCCGTTGATTATTAGCCAAGCATTGTTACCATTAGGCCAACGAGACCGTCGAATTGATTTGACCTAATTATATAGAAACATTTTTAATCTCATATTCATCTATATTTAGTAGATACAACAGCGACTCTACAGTTGTGATACTTGAAATTCGTGAACGCTAGATCGCGTTGTCGTCATCTATCCAAAAGTGTCAAGACCATTTAGATATACTTATGGCTATAAACTGTTCCATTATTGAATCCAAACGATATTATTAACATAAAAATAACTCAATCTCGACAACATAAGTTAGGCATTACATAAGTTGACCACGAATAACCTGCGCCCACGCACGCTGATTCGCCAGGCACGCATCACTCAAAGATAATGTTATTAGAATATTTTATATTCTACCTTGCGATACGGAGTCGGAGATAAATTTGATTTATTTGATGATATGCGTAAATGGTGAATTTAACTTTTTATCTCGAACATGTAGGTCTTTTTATGGCACAGAGAAGCATGGAGTTTAATCAATGGAAGAAACCCCAACTATACAATATCTCAGCAAGATGCGCTATTACCCTATTTTGCTTTAGACAATTTGATGACTGATGACGCAATGAAACTTCACGGCTTCCTTATCTGTGGAATAGTTCGTGACCCAGACGAAATTTTGCTAGTCTAAATACTGTCTATAGTTTACGCGAGTAGTACAGATTTAAATAAAACACTTTAACGGTTTAAAACGCGATATTATTAGTTAAACTTGTTTGAAATTTATTTTTAACTACGGCTTTGCAGCAGCCGTATAATCAATAATTTTAAACCGTTAAAGTGTTTTATTTCAATTTTGCTAGTATATTTAGAAATATTTTCAGAGACAATGTCAATACCAAAATGTTTTAGAAACTTTTTAAATTGACTATAAACATGTTAGACCCGCTGGAAATTGTACCCACGACCCGTTGTTTATTATTACTTTATAATTTATATATAGCTTCCATTTAGACTAGCCAGTCCTTCAAATATACGTACATTACTAATATCTACATGATTCGTTGTATTGTATTATATGACTTTATTTTTTATATTATATTTATTTATTATATATTATTATATTATTATTATTATATATTGATAGAGGAGAATAGATAACTTCACTCGGTGGAAGATGAAATATCCAGCTTTAAAGGTAACACCTTATGTACTTACCTATGTACCATGCAAAATGCACGCAATGTAATTTCAACCTTAACACTTGACAAAAACATTAATTATTTTTAAATTTGTCTTAGGACACTGCAACTTACAATTACATCGAAGCTTCTAGCTAGGATGTAGGATATAAATTACTACAATTCAGTCACTGCACTAAAAGAGATGTCCATTTGACACCAGCAAATGTACCCAATGTTTCATTACAAAGTGCGCTGAATACTGATGCAAGGTTTCTTTGAATCACACTTGCTACGCTAATATGAGCCTTAATACGATCCAGGAAATGCTGTTATTGTGTGAAGCGTTTATGTAATTGTGAATTACTTTTAGGCACGCTGTGTGTTCTAAATAGGTGAGACATAGCAATGGGTACTCTTGTCTCTTGATGTAAACGCTATAACAAGCCCTATGCTGTACAAGTTATTGATGGCAGGTTTTATGTTCCTTCCCGTGAGTGAGTTTAATGTTATGTCATTATTTAACAAAACACTATAAACAAGGTTTAGTGCTTTTACAATCTTAGAGAAAACACATATAGTTAGGACCGCAACGACCGATTGAGGTAAATAACAAACAGATTTCGGAAAAAAAATCCGACACGGGCACTTGAACCGGCTTCCACGGCGTTCCATGCTTTAACTAATCGAGCTATCGTGTCTTACACGTCATCGTCGAATTTTAATATTATACATGTATATTGAAGTAATAACTCACATATTTCCCCGTTTCAAATTGTTAAAGTGTTTTGGAATTGATACTTGTCGCGAAAACAATATATTATATATTTATTTTAATGTTACCGGAGGACACACAAGACCCGCTGACCCGCTCACCATCGAACCCACGACCCGTTGATTATCAGCCATACATTGCTACTATTATACCAACGTGTCAGTCAAATGTATAACAGAATA